AATTAGGGAGATCATCCGTGAACAAAGCACAGAATACAAACTTTCTTGCAAAATGTATCTTCCACAGTCACCCTTAGACACAACACGCCTCATAAAATGTCACCCGTTTCCCTGATGCAACTAATCGGATTCGCGTTCTAATCTTTAACAAACATAACGCAAACTTCCCTGTCTAGTACGTGACTCGTATTTTGCACCCATAGGAGAGAGAAACGACCCAGTTTGAGCTAAAAACTACTGAAATTTGACTAAATTTACTTACACAACCAAAACAAATGTGAAAAGACTCGAACCGAATTACCATTCGCTTCATGAATGAAATGGTAACGAAATAACGTTTTCCATGTCTGAATTGAATGTATCGTACATATTTATAACTTTCTGTGCTAAATGAATAAATAGTAGTGTGGTTATGCGTCTAAATGGTGGACCAATTTCTGAGCAAAATATTGAGAATTTCAAGACCACCGGATAATGCCTGGATTCATGTCGCCTTTAGTAAGATCAAACAAAACTTGATTTCTGTCCTCTAAATTCTCCGGAAGAAGAACAGTGGGTTCTCTGTTTCATCCAGGTCGACATTGGTCCTACAAGCTAATCTTCTTCATTTCTCTCGGACGATGAACAAACACAGAACCGCCTCCTTTCTTTCTGTTAACGGTTCCGCTCTTGTTGTCGAAAAACGACGTGTTCTGTCCCGGTATAGTGAAGAGCGTGAAACACACTACATGTGGCTGAGAAAGTGTATCAGGAAATATCCATCGATTTGTGGTCTGGTAGACGTCCACCAATCATGACATCTGTCTCGTTGGCTACATGGAGTGGTGAACGTAGTCTGACGAGATAGTTTACATTTCTCGCCTACATTTGACAGTACCCTTAAATTTCATCATTGTTCAATCACGAACATCGGTTTTGTCTTCTAAGCAAAAAAGCTGCATGTGAAAGTTTGTGGATTGAAGGGGAAGTATGTGAGTGCCCCAAGAATGCTTCCAATGTGTACATGATCTGGAAGTCGAAGGAAGAACACGCTCTCAACTATATCTCAGTTGTATGTTTTCTGTATGGGAACTAGACATCTCTGTGTGTTTTATGATAAACAGAGATTGAGCTACTGGTAGAACATGACATCCTGGACGAGAAATATGCCCGACACTCAAGTTGATTTTTTGAGAGTTGTAATCAGTAGACTATTCACACAATTCGAACCAATTTGAAATTTTGTCTTCGCAGTGGAGCTTTAGTTGACTTTGTCAAACAACGCATTCCCTTATCCGTTTTACAGAAGTCCGCGAGACTTGGATCTTGTCTACAAAACCATTTTTCCAGTGTGTATTTCGGATCACCTATGAACAAATCAAAAGATTCGAACATCTCTCGATTTGGAACTAGAGGACGAAATGTATGGCGTGTAGTGACCTCCATCGTTCTGAGAAAATGACTGTTTTCTGAACACCATTTTGGATCTATTTACTCTACGATCTTTTCCGACGTTTGACATTTACCTCAGTGTTGTCCGGTTGCGTACATTTTACTGGACTGACTTTTCCGAGGTTTCCGTCGACCCCGTTTTGAATCACCTTCGCTTTCGGTCGTTCGCTGATTGTACACACTCACCGTTCGCTTTCTGCACAGCCGTTGCGTTTCGTTTTCCGTTCGGTGTATCTCTCGTATCGGTACTGTTTCGGTGCCACGATATATAGAATACACCTCGCATCTGTAAACCGACTTGCGTCTTCTTTATTCGTCCGATAGAGGGGATAACGTTGGTATTCCGCTGCCAAACCCAATAGGAGACACGTTCACCAGCAGCTCTCGAACGTCTTCTATGGGCGCATAATGATCACTCTTGCATTTTCTAGTGAATTGCAAAAATAATTTTCACGGGCCATATGGCGATCAACATTCCGGTCAATATAGCCATTGTTGGTTTCCAGAGATCGTTACTATACTGGAGAGCAAAATCTCCGGAATTGCTGATCTTTCATATGAATAATCCAATACACTAAGTAAACGAGTGCCGTCGATAAGGGTTCCGATCTGAATTGCTTATCATAAATAGCTGTTTAAATGAAACGCAGTCAAATTTTCACCGAGCTTCCCTCATCAACATTGTCAGCTCGAATTTGTGACGGGACTTAATGCGATAAAGCCATGCAGGTTACCCCGGATGGACGAGTGTGATTTATGCATCAGGGTCGTCCTAGGCTTCTGATGTTATTCCTTGAATATAACTGTCAAATCCGTTAGCATTTGAAAGAGTAAGTGTAATGGCGCATCTTATATACGATACAAACCGAATCTCAATCGCTCTTGGAACAGTGTTCAACTTCTGATAAGTCACTGTGGATTTCCGCTGGTTTCCCCACAATCTATGAGAATTTTGTGCAGCTTTATATCAACATTGAAGATCAGACATTGGAAAGATACTAGAATAAAATGATGCAGTGGTGGGCATTTCGAAGCAGTTTGTCGAAATGCTTGTCTCAAATTCTGGCGCGCTCAACGAATGCATTCAGACTCATGTTCGAGAATGTTTCTTCTCCTGTTGTCTAGCGACAAAAGCGACCAGAAAACGAAGGAATGGCAGATATGAGACTCCAGCAATTCGCAGTTCCTATTCAAGAGCTGCATTCACAAACGTCACTGTCATCGTGAAAGCTATGTGAAGGGAAACTCGTCAGAAAATGTCAACCAGCCTAATCTAAGGAACGGACTTGCGCAATTATCAACTTACTGTCTGTTGCCAATTTGGCCTCGACCGGCACATCCGTTTCCTTCAAATGCTTTTTCGCACCAAAGTTGATCAGTGCCGGATCTTGAGAACACAAGGCGAAAATAGTGGCATCAATCAATAATCTCAGTATCACTCAGACACGGAAAGCATTTTGAAATGAATTATGTATTACCAAAAACAACAATCACCCTAACAATGGTTACCTGTTTACGAAAGTTTAGGCAGTTCAATACCGGTGACGCACTGGTTAAATATTCACACCGATTTCACGTCTGATCAATGAGAAATTGAAATTTCCTATGAGATCCAATCACTGAAACTCATTTTCATGACTTGAATACAAATTATTTGGTAGTAAACTATGCCATCTTTTCCTGTTTTCAATTAGAATTGGTTTATTGGAGAGAAAATCGTGCTCTCGGTTAGCATTTCACAAGCACTCAGTTTTCCCGTTTTGCGACACTGCTCGCATCATTGTGATCAAGCAGTGATCAGGGAGTACAAGCCCATTTACCAACAAGCCAGAGATGCTAACTCCGAGACACTGTCCTGATCAGAATGACGTTGGTGATGGACAAAATGTGGTGTTCACAAGGATCTATACCCCACCGGATCTGATGGAGTTAAGTGTGGTTTCCCACTACAAATGTCACTTGTTCTTGCCATGTCTCACAGATGGCGAAGAGGGTCCGTGTGACAGTATGCTAGCTCTTCGGTTATCTTCGCGTTCAAGTGAACAGTGATTACAAATTACCCATGATATCCCATTTTATCGGACAGTTAATTGGTGGCTATGGTTATGGGAAAATATTTGACCAACTCACCGTCATATATCCGCCACTCTTGGTTATTCGATTTCCCACTGTTACCTTTCTCTTGAACATTCGAAGGGGACGGTTCGCTGGTGAGTGCCACTGACCAAAGATTGTACAAGATTTCCAACACGATAATATGGACATGTTGATCGTGAGCAAATTCGGTTTTCAAAATGGAACACTCTCATTTTATCTCGGAATTTTGTAGTGTAGTGTAATAAGGTATCAGTCACCGGTGAAAACAACGAATGCTGTGTACATCTGTTTCGTCGCCTAATAGTAGTGGCTATTATATGTCAGATGATAATCAGGTGGAATTTGAAAAAAACTAATTATTGTGCTTCGAAAACTAGCACAGTACTACGCCCATAAATTGCTGAGTTTTACATTTATCAAATAAATATTCACTGTACTCAACATTTACTACGATGATCTTTTAAGTGAAGAGGGTATAATACAAGGAGTTATTCATTGATAATGTAATACTATAAATGAAATAAATGACTCAGATCACCTAGCAAGATGTCATATGTGATGATTGCGGCTAAGAATGAAACGGTTGTACAGTGGTTCCGTGGATCTCAATGGAAAGTGGGGCGTTGATACTAAAATAAAAATCATAAGATATATTCATATACCACAGTAAATTCTCCTCATTGTGATTGCATGGAGGTGAATGCTCTCAAACAGCATATCTACGAAAAGTCATTTACACCACTTATCGGAAGCATACATCGCAGTATGTTTTCGGAGGACAATAAATAGCTAACGCACAACGATTTCACCATCGACCAAAAAGTATTCATTCATGTCATCAGTTGCTCGGTATCTTTACGGGACTATTCATTGATTCATATTTAGTCAGGCTCTCAATATGATCTACTCGACTTCAAATACCAAACTATAAAGCTGAATGGAGGCTTTATCAATCCACACAAATCAATCCAAACCGTGCAAACAAAGCAACATTGTGTGATAATTGTTGTGTGTTTATCCGACAGACGTTCGTATGTGTGAGTCATGTGATTGTGCCCTCGATTCCCAACATTTGGTTTGTCCATTTTGCAATTGAAATAATTGCATTGACTGCATTGTGCACTACGTAAGTGGGCGAGAAAGTTATCCCGAAAACACCGTATGATGTGTGTGCTGGAATTTTGCTTCAGAAATCGGTATGCTATCATCTCGATCATTTTACTCAACCTGAGTAAATATTGGAACTGTAAGCTAACAACTTCATCCACACAACTGGAAATCATTGGTCATCATACAATTTATCTGAAAATGTCTGGGCGTATTTTCATATCAGCATATTTATAGTGACTAGCTCACGAGCATCTCAATAATACGATCAATCACAGTGCAAATTCTCCATTTCTGCTATGTGCAATATTCCATCACTTTTCCTTTTCAACATGAAGCAGAGATGCAATGATATTCATGCTCACCATCACGTTCCGTCGACATGTGACCACCCACATGATCCATCGGATTATGTGTTAATCCTGAGTGGATTTGTTCTTCATTTGCCAGTCCCTCCGAACTGTGTGAGATCGCTTTGGAGAATTTTCATCAAAGGGATGGGAATAGATTGAGAACAGAATTAGTTCGGGTGTATCTTGTCGTGGTAAGCCGAACTTACAGCATACTATTTTGGTTGGGGATAAAGCAACAGCTAGTCAATAGGTTGTATGCAAATAGTTATCATGGATCTCAACAACTTTTGTCACTTGGTACTCTCTCTCCCTCTCATACGCGAACAAATCAATTCTGCAAACTCATCCGAAGTATAATTCATGCACCTGTTCCATTTACCCTTATTCCAATACCTCACTAGAATACCCATGTTCACTCTCTGTCATTTCTCCAGCACGATATCTTGATGGACGGATTTCATTCATTGTGTGAACCATGCAGTCTAGATTCAGTTATCAGACAATGCATTTCAAGAGACGTTGTTTAGATTGAAGTCATGTCGTAACGGGTTTTAATGAAGTGGGTCAGTTAAATGATGCTGTTCGTTGTGCGAGGTGATCAGTGAGGTGTGGTAGTCCGGAATTCCGTCAGTGCTCAGAGCTCTAATGACATGGAGAACTTGCTTGCAGAGAGAATTATAGACAAAGAAATGACTCCCACAATAACATTCTAACGGTGAGAAATCAGTGTGCGAACTTTGTGCAGCCTAACTTGGTAGGGAAGTCATGGGATAAAGACGATGACAAATGTGTTACCAATGAAATGGGAGCAGACTAAATGAGCAATGACTGCGCTATTGCTGGACCCGAGAGACCGGGATCAATGATTCCACAGAAAATCGGCTCGCAATAAATTCAGACCCCAATTCAGAATTTTAGGGACTTACGTAGATTTTTTTTTACAAAAAATCGACGTGACGACTTGAGGGAATGCAAGCACTTCATTGATGAATAAATGCACAGTTATATGTCTGAAGAAGACGTCAAAGAAACACAAGTCCTAGTGGGATTTTCGTGGCATACGTAGAAATTAGACGAGGTTTTATTTCCGGTGAAATACGGTGATATCTTTGAGGGACTCTGGCAGTCGCCGGGATCGATTATAGAACGATTCCGTATCCCAATCGACTGTGCGGTCTTTAGGAATACTATCGGGTTAGGTATTTCTTGTTAACCAGTGTCCAACTTCAAAAATTTTCTACTTCTCTGGATTGAACAATTTAACAATTATTAGATAGTCAACCCACGTTGCTAACAACCAGTTCCGATCTGCTACTGTGTTTGACTATTTCGCCAGAATCTTTCCAAACCCACCACTTGACTGATTTATATAGTTCTTGGTTTTGTTTAAATATCCAAGCCTTGTTGCAGCCATCTACGACAGTCAACTGCTATTTCTTCCTAAATGACCTAATGAATATGCCGCATAGCCACTGTGAGATGATGAACTGAATCGTATGGAATAACTAAGGATGTCGATAATGCTACCCTACTGCTCCTGTGTTGTTCCAATCCTCTTGGTTAAATAACAAAAATGGATTTATCCGTATTCGTGCAAACTCCTCTACTGAAATCAGTGCTCAATATGATTTATCAGATGGTATTTTGTAAGAAAAGCTTTTGAAGAAAACTTAGTCTGACTTTGTGTCAACCCACCGGACAACAGCTTTCTCGAAAATTGCAGGCATATTATGATGCCTAAATTCAATCTACCTCACTATCAACATTTCCTTATCATTCCGAATATAAGCTTACATGTTTTTAGTTCAGCTTCCACAGAAGTAAGCGAGATGAGTTGTTCCAACATCACCAAATGGGTATTCTTCCTGTTCTGAGCAGTGTTCCGAATATCCCTAAACTTTTGTCAATCCAGTGGTATCTTAGACTTAGATAGCCCAGATCACGGTGTGAGGGTGATGAGCATTGAAAGGCGGGCTTACGAAAAAACTCCTGAAAAATCACAATGGGGCCATAATTCACATACGACATGAAGGAACGCAGAATCATGAGGGCGCATTCGTAGAAATAGTGAAGGACAAAAGTGGTGGCGTATTCACGGATCATTTGAGGAACGTAATACCAAAGCTTAGTCATTCGCACAGAAAAAGCAATGAGAGCATGTTCGTGCGCCCAGGCGGCAATGCCCACTCAAGTGACGCAGAAATTATTGAGAAAACAACAGATTGTGTCAGGTAGGTCAATGTACCAGATCAGCATCCGGTAACAATAAAGGACGTATACTAGCGTGATAATCTGGTTCATCGGATAGTTCATCGTGTTGTTTGAAGGATGAGCAATGATCAAAAGGATAGTGATGGGAGAAAAGAAGGGTAAATAAGAGCTTTCGCTTCGCGTGACTAACAAATCCTGTCCTACCTGGTATACTTCGAGAACCACTCCGATTTGACACATTTTTGAAAGCCTCGTTTCCGTCTTGGAATGAGGGGCAAAATTAGAAACCTCATCACTGACGGAGGAAGCAAAAATTCATGGTACCACAAGAGAATTTGGCATGGAATCCAGAGATATCAAACAGGCACTGCACTTAGAGCTGGTGTTCAGTTCAGTTCAATTCAGTTCACTTCAGTTCACTTCACTCAGCAACCCCGCACTTATGTGCTCTCATTTCGGTTAGTTCATCCCAGCATCGTCGAGTTGATGAAAAGATGAATGGGAGATTATGGTCATGAAGAGCTGATACCAATGCAATCCGCCATATTCTCGAAAATAATAAGAGCTTTCGAATGCAATTGGGCCATTTTTCGAGACACAACCATATCGCTCAATGTCTCTAACACTCTGGTATGCGGATCTCGTGGACCCCAACCTCGTCCAGCGGCTGAAATCTTCACCCATTCACCCGTCTGATGTGGTCGCATCTTCGGCCTAATAAATCCATCTTGCATAGCTCTTGGTTCATTGAAGCACTCAAGCCATCGCATTATGCATTATGTAATTGACGAATTGTCGGCTGCAAATAACTACAACTGTGTCAAGCTATCGACTAGCTATGCTCTAGACGCATCCGAATACCGTCGATTTCATGTCACGCAAGGATATGCAGACTGTTCTATTTTGGATACAATGTGTTTGAAGCTCAGAGTCTCAAAAGCTGGGTGGAGCACTTCAAGACACAGGTTAGCCTCTCCAATTATTGTACAGGTAAAATCGATTGAGATGCATTGAAAGTTTTGTCAACGCATAGTCGGGTTTTAGTGCTTGAACGTCGCCACATTAGATCATCAGTGGACAATTAGGATGTTGAAACTTTGCTCTCATTTAGGTGAACTCTACTCGGTGATATGGGTGGTTGAATGTGTGTGATATTTGTCTCTAAGATAAAATGTAGACTAAGAATTACGGGCGTATGCAAGTACAAATAAATTGCACAATAGATTCACCTTCAAAATGGGTTTCCGCAGTGACCGTGCCAACCGTGGTACTATAGGGTTTATCCTAAGAACACCCAAACTGCTTGTGTTGATCAAACTTCTCAGCTTATACAAAACGTTTCAAAAGCAGATTCGCGAAGAGCAGACTGTGTTTTACTCCGGTCATGGATGCATCGATCAAATCCACACAATCGAAAGGCTGTTAGAACACCACCATACTTTCCAAAGACAGCCGACCATCATGCTCCTAGACATTCAAGCAGCCCTCAAATCTGTAGACATTACGGCAATTAAGGAAATTCGTTTAGATAGTGAGTAAGTGAAGAGCACGGATTATTCCTCAAGAAGTTGCATCCCCTCAAAGAAGATCAAGTTAGGGCCCACGACCAGCCTTTAACCTCGCTCGTTTTCCCAGACAGGGTTCGGCAAGCTTATCCAGCATCCCATGTTTTACCAAGTGAACACCACAAAACTGCAATGGCGTGGCACAGATTATGCATTACTACCCGTCGATTAACTTTCCGTGCTCTGTTCTTAAGTACTAGACAAGGCTGGAAGAAGCGGCTCGACGATCCGGCTATGAACAAGTGCGGGGCAAGTAAGAAGCTACTATTAGAACCGGCTCCTAAGTGTTTAACCCAGAAGACCACGCTTTCACATACAGAATGCATTGTAGGATCTTCCTGTAGAGCTTACTACATCGTTAGTAACACAACGTCATACCATTGTCAAACTGATATGATTGGAATTCACAATCAATGATTGTAAACAGAGAGCTCTCATCTTGCCAAACAAGTGTTCTTGCAGTTTTGAGGAGTGTACCAAATATCCCCAACGTCCTGTCAGTGCAGTGGTATCTTAAACTTAGATAGGGCAGATCACCGTGTGCGACTTGTGAGTAACGGAGGACGGAGTAAGTAGGAAGCTCATACAAATCTCCCGAAAATCCATAATAGACAGTAATTCAGATAGGTTCATCAGTGTTGTGTCTGGCTAAAGTCACCCACACTATGTTTCAACGCGAGCAGTATTCACTTATCGATTTTGCTATACACTGATTGGCCTTACTGTTTTGCGCGTGACAGCACATGTTTATCAGCTCTTTTGCAAGCTTGCTTGTGGATTACTTCCTGGTTACTGCCAGGTTTCGTGTTCAAGTCCGTACAAATATATGTCACACCACCATGACGTGTTCTTCTACTAACTCTGATCACAACAATTACTTACAAGGTGCAGTTTTCTCATCAGATCTAGTTAGGTCCACAGCTAAATATGAGTTGGGCACCGTAACCATCTTTATCAAATTCTGATAAAAATTTTGGAACAATCATACGGACCATTACACGTACCTGGAAGGTGTTAGCATGCAATTGACTTACAGAAAAACACTTGTTCTTCTATCACCTGAATAATTTTACTCAATCGAAAATCACACTGAAACTGTAGGCTTCCTAACTGTGGCTTCGAATCATTTGCATCGGAAAAGTGAGGAAATTTCACAGAGCATTTTACAACTTACATTTCACTCGTAATTTGCTCATCATCGGTGACTACATACTCATTCACATATATGTTGGTGCAATAACACGTCACGATAACTATGCAATCACTGGAAATCACAGGAAGAGTTGTAGATTGAGAACACGAATGATGTTGGTATATTTTGTCGTGGTAAGCTGCATTGACACA